GGCTCTTCTACAATCAGACATCGCGAAGATCCGACAAGCATTAGAGGACGATCCTGAGAACCCGCCTGAGGGCGTTGAGCTTCCGGACTCGAGCCAGGCACCCAAGCGTCGCATAGCGCGCCACATGTATATCTCGCAATTCCCCAAGGTTCTTGCGATACATTTGTCGCGCTCGACGTTCGCCATTGGCGCTGCCTCGACGAAGAATTTGGCGAAGGTCGCCTTCCCTGAAGCTTTGCCATTAGGCGGAATACTACACCGGAAGAACTACCGTCTTCTTGGAATGGTCACACACAAGGGCAGCCATAATAGCGGTCACTACGAATCCTTTCGTCGTCAAGTCCAGCCTCTTCCGTTCTCCACGAACGCGACACTTGGTACTGAAGGCGCATACAGCCGGCAAGCCAGCCCATACCCGTCAGCAGCACCATCGGTAGCGCCCTCAGCCGTACAAAGTCCGCGCATATCAGCACTCAATCTTCCCAACACCATCGACCGCGGGTCACCAGTCCCGTCCACACCCACACTTAATTCCCCCTCAACACGGTCGCTGTCCTCACAAGAGACCATGCCTGCGCCCTCAAGAGGGCCAGCACCAACTTCCGCACCGCGCATGTCCGAGTCTGATCCACTACAAATGGCATCCTCTTCCACCGAAACAGGCACCGGCAGCGATTCATTGTCCCGTACGAGGAGTGTACGATCACTGAAGGAGCGTGCATCAGAGAAAGCGTCATCGATAAAGGAGTCGAATCCTCTGCGGCGGAAGTCAAAGAAGACGAGCAATAGGTGGTGGCGTATAAGCGACGACAAGATCAAGGAGAGTAAGACATCCGAAGTCTTGAACATGCAGAAGGATGTGTATTTGCTGTTTTATGAGTTGAACAAAGTCTGAGCTACTTTCAAGTGGCCATTGTACAAAGGGATGATGGGTATGCGGCACTGCATCTTTGCGCAATGCTAGTGATGACGGTGTAGCAGAAAAGCCTGCATTAGATATCACTCGCTATGGAAGCGAGACACGAATGAAGAACGTGTAACATAATGCAACTCGAGCGAACTATAACATTGATCAGGTTGTTTCGCCATACCAGACCGTATGCGAACTTCCCCAAACCACTCACGTTGGCAATGCGCCGTGAATGCTACCTCTGTCTCGTGGCTTTATCAGCGATGATATCATTGGTCAGACCCCACGTGGCCCTCCTTCCCCAACGATAACCACCAATGGTCAGGATGCCCAGCCTGCAATGCAACGACATCGATGCTACGCTCGTAGTTTAACACCACACACCCCTCATCTGTGCTGACCGGTCACCTGGGAAGGGAATCGCAACACACATCTGCTCATCCTTAGGCCTTTCGGATCGCTCAAAACGCGCCCATTCACCACGGGTAGACCAAGACTAGCAGGCACAAAAGTACGAGCACTTTTGAATCGATTCTAGCACCAAGCGGTCTTTCATCAGGCTCCTCAATTTGCATTCAGATTTCGAGCAACGACAGTCATAGCGACCAGCTTATGTACTGTAGCAATCTCTAAAATTACTTTAAACCGTTCCTTCCTCATCATAATCCAAGCTTCAACCGATATAAGCGACATGCCAAGCCTCGAAGCAGACGAGAGCGCCTTCCTCCAGGCCGAAGGAAAGCAAACTTTCACCAGCCCACCCCGCGTCCTCATCATCGGCGCAGGGAGTCGCGGCACAGCCTACGCTGAAGCCGCACAATCTTCAACAAACTCCATCATCACAGCAGTATGTGAGCCCAATGGTTACAAACGCACTGAGTTTGGTCGCAAGTTCATCTGGGGTGACGGAGGTGAGGCCAAAAATCACCAAGCATTCCGCGGTTGGAAGGAATGGAAAGAGTACGAGATGAAGAGAAGAGATCAGGAAAGTGCTGGTCATGACGTGGAGAAGGGCATCAATGCAGTGTTCGTATGTGTACTGGATGAGATGCATGAAGAGGTCGTCTGCGGTATCGCAGATATGGGCGTGCACATCTCGTGCGAAAAACCGATGAGTACGAGATTGGAGAGTTGCATGAGGATGTACAAGGCACTCAAGGCACCGGTCGGTACAGGCGAGGCAAAAGAGACGATCTTCGGTATTTGCCATGTGTTGCGGTACTCGCCGCACAACATGTTGCTGAGACATCTGGTACTGGAAAAGGATGTCATTGGTGATGTGTTGAGCATTGAGCATGTTGAGCCTGTTGGTTGGTGGCATTTCAGTCACTCCTACGTCAGGTACGATATCTACATTCATTCTTGTCAATCTCCATGCTGACGAACGCAGGGGTAACTGGAGGAAAGAATCCAAAACTGCGCCATCTCTTCTCACAAAGTCCTGCCATGACATCGACTTCCTTATGTGGATGCTCTGTTCGCCTGGTCCAAACACTGAGAATGCGACACCTCATCTTCCATCACACATCACGTCTACTGGGTCTCGTAACTTCTTTCGCAAAGATCGGAAGCCGAAAGCAGCTGGCTCAGCTACGAATTGCCTATCTTGCGCGTATGAGCCAGACTGTGACTATAGTGCGAAGAAGATATATCTCGAGAGACACCTGGACAACGGCAACGCAGATTGGCCAGTCAAGATTGTGAACCCTGAGATCGAAGACATCTACAAGACTTCCGGTAAAGAGGCAGCTGGGAAGCAGCTTCTCAAAGATCTGACTGAAGACTATAGCAGTGAGACATCAATCGGTGAAATTGAACAACGCCCGTGGTTTGGTCGATGCGTATGGGAGTCGGACAACGACGTATGTGACGACCAGATGGTCACGATCACCTGGGATGATGATCCAGTCGCAAATGACGATGATGGCCTACCTATGCTGCATGGCCGAGGAGCAAAGACTGCCCAATTCCACATGATCGCCTTTACAGAGAAGCAGTGCGAACGGCGGGGTCGCATCTACGGCACCAAGGGTGAGATTGAGTACGACAGCACCAACATCAAAGTGCACAACTTTTCCACTGGGCAAACCAAAACTCACAGCCCTCATCTCGCAGGCGGCGGTCACGGGGGCGGAGACGAGGGGCTTGCGCGACAATTCCTCATGGCGGTTAACGCTGTAGACTCTGGCGCCATGCCCGCGTCAGACGCCCAGCGGAAGTATCTCGGATGCGGCCTTGAGGAAGCGTTCCGGAGCCATGCCATGGTCTTCGCAGCCGAAGACGCTCGAACGAAGCGCCAGGTGATCGACTGGAAGAAGTGGTGGACCGAGTCGGTGGAGTCGCAATTACACGAGCGGTAACTACCTGGCATGATGACAGTTCAGGCGGGCAAGGAGAGTACGACGGGTAGTTTCTTTTCGGTCGCCGAAGATGACGGCAACTGTACGTAGGCGCCTAGATCAAGGCATGACCATCATGACATCGGATGAGGCTCTTGCGAAGCTCATGAAACTGAAATGAGGGCTGCCAAACCTCGCGCCAATCCGCTGTCAGCGCTCGATGAAGCAATACTAGCCCCAGGCACGTTTGACAGTTAAGCTCCGCTTTCAGGTAATTAACGGCCATTTCCCAGCCGGTTTCGGCTCGTCTGGGCTATATTTGGTGATCATGCTAAAGGCTAATACTTCCGCTTAGGGGTGGATATGGGCGCTTAATAGACCATGAGGCTCAAGGAAGACTATGGGTAGGGCTGGAAAATTTCTCCACGAGAGCGTTTCCGGGTGCAACGTTTGATAGTATGGGCGCTTGGATTGGCAGACGGGCTGGGGCCAGTCAGATTGCCCGGTTTGTGGTACATTGGACGAGAACGACACTCGCGCTGTCTTCGGGAGCGTCCGAACGTCAGTTTGCGCTGCTTCGTAGGTCATGCTCAAGACGCCGCTGGGGGCTGTGCACAGAGTCGAAGTCGCACGCATGGCATGGCGGATGCCAGCGCAGCAGGTGGGCGAGGCCCGAGACCCGGAAGAAACTTGCTTGACAACAACGCGGTGAACGCGTCGACGTGTGGGCGGTCTAGGAAGCGTGTTATAGTCGTGAATTGACTCTCTCCGCCCATTGTGAGTCACTCGTTCGTGCATGGCGGGCATGCGGGAAGACGCATATCGCTCCGCAGAAACGAAACGCTGGAGCGCCGTGGTCCAATCAAGCCCCTCTCGTCCATCGATGACTCTTAACGGGCTGCAGCTGCCCCACGCAGCGCGGGACCTAGCACGGACGACACGGCAGGCGCTAAGCGGACAACACCACGCCCGTCGATTCGTCCCTTCGCGCTGCCAACGTCAAACTGCCGCCCCAGCGCCCATCGAGAAAAGTCCCTCAGTGTACTACGACACTAGAACTCTGCTATGCGGCGCCGAGGCTGCCGGTTTCAGGTTATCCAACCGCCCCATGTGCAGGCGCGTCGCTGGCCCGCTTACCGCTTCGGTATACCACTTCATCGCGGCAGCCATTGACAGCGCAGCATTCCATGCCGCCATACTACATCGAGTATGCAACGCTGCAAGAATAGCAGATCCAGAGTCGTTCGCTAGCCACGTACTCGCCCAAGCCAAGCAGCAGCCACGCTATGTTTCAGACGCCTTGTGAGGCTCGAATGCTGTAGAAGGATGCTCTGATACTGCCGCCAGACCGCCAGAACGTAGTCTACCGGTCCAAGTCCCCGGGTGCTGGCCCTTCGATGGATTGTGTTTCAGATGTTTTAGCGCGAAGTGGGCGTTGGTTCTCGTGTCTCTACGCGGGGAACAGTAAGGATAAGAAGTCTGTCTGCGCCGCAATCAGCCAGTCCATCAGCTTCTTCAAGCACTTCATTTAGAGCACTGCCCGACGAGTCGATCGTGTCTCATTTCCTTTCTTTCTCCATCTTTTGCGCTTTTGTCTTAGACACCTAGAGCTGGCCTCTTCTATTAATCGCTATTCGATAATCTCTTCCTGTTACTATTCTCAGTCTTCACAGCGTAAGTCACTGCTTCTATTCTCGAGTTGATTCATTGGTGCTGATTGGAAGTAGTCTGGTAGCTTCACATCATTCATCATGTACAGCCGTCAAACAACACCCCCGACTGCTCCCTTCAACTACATCCCGGGCAGCGTCGGCTCGGACGTCACATACTACTCCCAGGCCTCATCGCCGGAACCTCACATCTCTGGGCCTACTCCCCCACGGTCACCAGTTCGCCAATATGGACCTATTCTTCTCCCCAAGGTCCGTATGCAAGATCAGGTTGCCGAGCCCACCAGTGGTCCCATCAGACATCGCAGGACGACGTCTACTTCTTCCAGTATCGGCTATGCCTACAGCCCATACTCACGGCCAGCCTCGATGGCGCGCCGTGGATCCAGTCCTTTCAACCATAACATGCACAACGTTCACAGCCAGTTGACTTCTCCTGTGTCAACTGCTTCCTCATACGACTTCAACCTCTCTACCCTCAACTCTCCCATCACATTCGCACAGCAGCCTGAGCTTCCTCGTCGATCCTCATACATCGGATCGCAATCTCGCTCCACTTCAGCTAGCCGAGCCCGCCATGATCGCTCCGCCTCTGCTGGAAGTGTTGATGAGCAGGTCATCAGCCGGTACGGCTTCCCCACCTACCGCAACATGCCCAGCTATGTCACTGCTTCAAGTGCGCCTCAGTCGAACTTGAGCCTCGTTACTTCCCTTCCTTCTTCCTACTCCTCGGTTCAGGACATGCCTAGCTTCACCTCCACCTGCTCGCAAGACTTCACTATTCCAGAGTTCGAGGCTGCTCCAGCTGTGCAGTACCCCTCCTTCACCGAAGTCAGCTTCGACAGCTTCCAGCAAGTCCCTGCTACGTCGTCTTTGGTTGAGTATCTCTCTTCTGCCAACCCCTCCCCATCTCTTGTTCGCCGCGTCACTAGCGCACCACGCGGCATCAACAACCACTTCTGGTGGGACATCCGCAACCTTCGCAGCTGGGAGGACTTCAACATCACCACCATCAAGTCCATCCCCTCGGTGCTTCCTCTTCTTGAGGTGCCTGTTCCAGCCAACTACCTTCCCCAGCCTTGCCGTCAGAACCTGCAGCCAGAGAACGAGTCCGCGCTCCAAGACATCTGCACCAACTACTACGCCAACAAGGTCAACGCCGCTCTCAAGGTCGCTCAGGGCAACTCACACATGGTCATGCGCTCCATCAAGCCCGTCGCCGGCCAACGCACGCAACCAGAGTTTGTCTCCAACTACCCCTCCGACTATGAGAAGACTCTCTTCGGCGACAGCCGTGGCCGCGTCGTCGGTCTCGTCAAGTGCTACGACCAATGGAACACCGGCATGCGCAGCGAGTCACCACCTAAGCAAGTCCTCTACCTCCAAGGTCTCGCTCACCTCCACCGCGTGATGCGCGAGCACGGTTGCCGCTACGGCTTCATCATGACCGAAATCGAGCTCCTCTGCGTCCGCTGCGGCGGCCCATCCTCCTTCTCCACCCCCGACCCCACAACCGTCAACGCCCAAGCCGGCGTCCCCATCTACGGTTACCTTGAAACTTCCGCCCCTATCCGTCTCTCCACATCCGGTTCCCACCCTGAGACCGGCGACATCCAACTCACCGCCGCCCTTGCTCTCTGGTACCTCCACATGCTCGCCAAGGAGAACCCCTTCGAGGGCATGGGTACCTGGCGCATGGACGTCGGCGGCCCTGCGGCGCTGACGAGGCAAAACTACCTTGAGAAGGATGCCTGGATTCCTAAGCCGCAGCTTGGCGAGAAGAGGGAGGCTAAGAGGGTGCGGGGATGGGTATTCCCTGATGAGCCGCTCAGCAAGAGGGAGTGTGGTAAGGGCAAGAGGGGTAAGAGTATTGGTTAAGAGATGGGTTTGGTCATGGGTCATGGGTCATGAGGTTTGGTTATGAGGTATGAGGTATGATGGGACGACGGGATGGGACATGAAAACATCAGCTGCTGGTCAGCATAAGCTCTGCTTCTTCTTTGCATCGAGCGGCGTTTCTTTCTTGGGTTTAGCAGCATTGCACGGCGTTCTTTGATTGGGTAGCATTTACATGGCGCGCATTATTTTACAGATCAGATAGTATCTACACTAGTTCAGAAGCAATGGTATTTCTCACCATTAATACCTTGGTTCGCATGCTTGGTGTGGCTGGTGTGACTGGCGCTGCCGAATTGGCGCAAGGGCTGAGCCTTGGGTCTACGGCGCGCATCACGTAGACTAGCTTTTGGGATGAACCTGAGGCGTATAAATACCGCTCGAGATTCTGGTACTGAGACTTCTTCATCATGCTTCTTATCCTGCTTTTCCAAAACAGCAAGAAGTAGCCTCCATGAGAATCCTGGTTCTTTCTCCAAAACAACATCGTTATGAATTGATGACGGTCTTTCCGTCTTCCAAAAAGACCATTTCAAGCTCCCATGGCTGCGAGTCTGCCGAACACACCTTCACATTACCAAAATTCGACCAACTTTCCTTGAATGGAGACGGAGAATCCGACCGATCCCGAAAATTCAAAATGGGTCGTCGCCTATATCATGGTCTTCCGGCCTGCCTTCTCGCTTCCAAAACCTACACGAACCTACCATGTGTTCGGCACTTCTCGAAAAACAAAAACGGAAGAGTCTCAGCTTATGACTGTGCTCTCTGCGTCGAGCATATAAAACATCTCTCGATCACTCCGGGTTCTTTACTTCTCCATTACACCTTTTTTTCAAAATACCAAAAACCAAGTTTACGGACTTCATGGAGACTTCCGCGGTCCAAGATCGCGGAGGTGACCAACATGTCCTCTGGCACCTTCTCTTCCCCGACACGCTCTTCCACCAAAAACCAGAAGATGTATGGATCATGAGACGTCCTCGGTCCAAACAACAACAGCGCTAGCAACATGCTGTTCTCCTCGGTTCCTCAGGGTAAGAAACATGTTCATCTCTTACTTTCCTAAAACCCAAAAACCAGGAAGCATGAGAGACATGGAGAAATTCGGCCGTCCAGAAAAACTGATGTGGAACTCCCATGTTGTGCCTCTCTCGTCTTTGTCCAGTAAATAACCAGTGGTCAACCTTCGTTGCCGCGAAACTCGAAACAAATAATTATTCATTTCATGGAGAGGTTTCGCGATCCAAACATCACCACCTTAACAGCATGTTGCCTTCCTCCTTCCCCCCAAAAATAAGCGACCAACATCGAGTTCTATGAACACCGAAACTAAGTGCGCCTCACTGGATGACGAGGTTCGGTGGTCCGAACAACACCAACACTAACAACATGTCGTCTTCCTCTTCTCTCCTCGTGAAGAAAGTCAACTCATTTCAGCTTTCTAAAAATCAAAATGATAAGAATGTTTCTGATGAAAAGCTCCTGCGACCCAAACAAGAGAGACGAGGATTATATGTTGTCCTCTTTTCTTCCTCTGGGATCAAAGCGATAGTGAACTCGTTCATGATCTGTCTGGTGCGACCCGAATTCGAAATACGAACTTTCCATGTCCCCTGGAGAACAGAGAGGAAGATAATCGACATTAGGAGTGATGTATGGCGTTGGCGCCTGGCTGTCCTTTCGACCAAAGATGGTTATGAGAAGCTGTGACGGCGGCGCTGCTGGTTCTGCCTACCCTACATCTGATCACCCGAAAGTACATGGACGATATAGATGTCTGCTAGCGCCCACTCGACGCCTATATAAACTTCTCGCTTTTCTCGGTTCCTGGCTTTCGACATCACTTCTGCTTTGATCTCTTGTAAGAGTTCGGGCAAGCGACGCATGTGCGTGTTGGCCGCTTCAAAAAATCAAATTGAACGATTATATGGAGTGTTGTGCTCGTTCGGAAATTCCAAAAGCATGAGGAAAGACTGGAGTGACCGAAAATTTGGAATCGACGGATCCATGCGAGTGCGCTGGAACATGCGCGTCTTTATCAAAAACCACCATCAAAGATCTTATAAAGCTGTTGTGCTGTCCGTCTTTCGACATAACTAGAAACAACCAAAAAAAAAAGATACCACCGTCCATGTTGGCTGTTCTAAAATGGCACCGCAGCCCCGCATGTTCGAGAAGGAGACGTTGCGTTTCTCCACTGTCCGAGTCGAGTTGCCACCGTGCGCCTGTGGGCTATATAAACACCCTCGAGATCTCTTCTTCTCTTCTTTATTCTACATTCTCTTGTGAGAACATCCAAAAAAAAAGATGAAGAACATATGTTGTCTTCTGCTGCTTTGCTTTCTCTAAAAATATGACCAAACATTGCGATGGTGTCGAACGGACTGCTCTTCTTCAATTACACCACAGCCTCCTCGATGGCACCAAAAGTCTACATCGACGTCGATGATGTGTTTGGCGTCTCGGCGCTTCTCCAAAAATCGCGAGACAATATCCATATGGCGTAAACTGGGCACTCGTTTCTCTAAAAACAGGATTGCAGTCGTACATGGCTGCTCGAGAGATGTACTTGCGATACACGCCCGACTCCTTCGTTCTTCGCTGAACGACCGAAAAGACTTCGTCGACCTGTGATGATCCCCCGGGCGCGAGCGATAGCGCGCTAGTATCCGTTCGTCGGGGCGCGCATAGATACCGTGTCTGTCAGCTCTTTCTCTCTTCATCATCTATATCCTCGACAGAGTTACCAAAACAAGTTGAAATGGGGTTGATGGCTTCGTCTGTCGCCTTCCTCCAAAATCTACGCTTCGAATATACGATGACACAGTCTTCCAATAACTCTGAAAAGAGATGTTGAGCGCATTACACCATGCGCGAGTCGGTCGGCAGCCCAAAAGATGCAGCTGGCCACTCGATGGAACCGTACGCATGCATGAAGCAGGTCATATTGGGTGCTGCTGCCAAGATGGACAAGTATAAAAAAGTCTGCTTCTCCGTTGTAGTTCTTACTGCATCACCTACACTCCAGTGTGCTCCAAATCGAAAGAGCGAGCTCGCGATGGAGAAGGATCCTTTGTTCGACCTGAAATGAAAACGTCGTCAAGTTCATGTGCATGACTGACTTGTTGGGTGTTCGAGTTGCGAATTCCAAGTACGGGCAACAGAAAATCATGCAGCTGTTCGGTAATGTTGCTCATAGCCATGCTATTCCGTATCTTTGAATGAAACACATCAAAAAGCCACGCCCTTACTTCCATGACCAGTTCTTGGCTCACCTCTATTGTATAAATCTTCTGTCGCCGGATTCGTGGAAACCTCGCTCATACAGTCTTCCCACTCCTTCGGCTCAAAAAACAAGGCGACACCATAACATGAGTGTTCGGAGTATTTTCTTCAAATATTCGGGGTCAAGGTCGTGATCGTGCCTGTTTCTCCGGCATCGGTTGCAGAAGTTAGGGTCTGTCGCTGGTGATCTTTGAAGTCGTCATTCTGTTCAGAATTATCGGCATACCACGATGGCATAAGAGTGGAACGTATCAATGAAGCTTGCTTATGCTTTACCAGGCGCACCGTGATTCCATTCACGTAGTCTCTCGGCTCATGTTTGGGTTGTTCTTGCGTTCTCCAATAAAGGAATGTGGTAGTCATGGTTTTGTCGATTGCGCGCTCGTTTTGGAGCTCCAGGAAAGCAGATGTATCATGCTGACATGTCGCTGGTACCTTGGCTGTGGCGCTGCGCACCCAGCGAGAATGCTTGCTGCATGTGCGAGCGCAAGCCTCGGGTGATTGTGGCAAAGACATAATGGTGTGGTAGGCCGGCGGTGTGGTGCGGATGCACTTGGTCCGGCAGTGACAGTATTTGCCGATAGGTTCTAGGCGCAGGCGTGAAGGTCTAGATCCTGTGCGAGGACGAACACGACGAATGGGTAGGAGCCTGTTGTGAGATACTTACTGCTTTTTGTGTTGCTTCAGGGTCTTTCATATGTTAATGGCGCCTGCCGTGTACGCTATTCCGATGATGCAGGGCACTCTAGATCGAATGGTAAGTATGAGGCTGCAGGTACGGCTTTGTCTGCGAGCTAAGTCGCCGCTATTCGACAACGAAAGCGTGCGCATCATAACAAGTCGACATCCAGATGGTCGGTGTGATATCTCACGATGCTCGTTGGCATGCTGGAAGGAAAGACCTCGGTCGCGTGCGGTGATGAGTAAAAGCATGCATCGTGGTGGTGTTAGACAGGGAGAGTGCATTGACCGCCACGTGCGCTAACGATGCTAGGAGGGAAAGCCGCGATTCTGATCCACACAAAATTAACTACTGCCCCTCCATCATCACGTCCCGCACAAGCTGCACAAGCCCGACGAGGCGCAAAATCGAGGGAAAAAGCACGCGTGCCTTTATCCTGACACAGTCCCTCCCGCCAATTCTTACCCCAACGCGCTGCTTGCGGGTGCAAAGACAGCAGGAACCTCGCCCGAACCCCCACTGCCCTTTCTCACCGCACCCACCCGCCGTCTTGCTTAGGCCATCTCCCAGCCCTCCGCAGACGCTGCCGCACATTCGCAACCATGGACGTTGCCGGCCTGCGGGACCGGATCCAGGCGACGCTTGACGCCAACGCCGCCATCAGACAGCAAGCCGAGCTCGATCTCAAGCATGTGCGTGTTGAAAGCCGGAATGCTGCCTGCCACACGGAAAACTGATAGACATATAGGCCGAAGAAAAGCCAGGCTTCGTCGATGGCCTGCTGAACGTCCTCGAGCAGGAACAGAACAACGCCGTGCGCCTGTCGAGTAAGGATGCGCCTGATGTTGCCCGATAGGCCTTGGTTACTAACATCTACCCCAGCCGTCGTCTACCTCAAGAACCGCGTCTCCAAGGGCTGGTCGCCTGCCGAGGAATACAGCCAGGCCATCCCCATACCAGAGGAGGAGAAGGCCGCCTTCCGCAGTCGCCTCGTCCCTGTCCTCGTCGCCTC